AAACAATAAACATCCACCCAGGCTATAACAATTACTGCACTGCAGACATTATAGATTTTGTGTATGCAGTCATTTACACTGGATTTTACTTAAAATTATTTTCCAATAACATATGACTACTGCTCAACTACTTATAATATTATATTTATATATATTTATCTATATATATATATATTTATATATATGTATTTAAATATGAATTTTACATAATTTTTTTTTTTTTTATGTAACTATAAAAATTATTTAAGGCCTTTTTTTATAACTTTATTTGGTAACAAGTTAATTCTTTGGTAACGAAATTTTATAACAGTCGTTACCGCAAGCGGCAAAAGTTTTAGTTTTAGTTTTTTTTTTCTTTTTCGTATCTAGTCACCATAATACCTTATCCAAAAAGAGGATTTATTATTATTATTAATTTAGGAACATTTCAAAAACTGTTATTTAAAAACACTACAGCTACATATATATGAGTAGTGAGTGAGACTGACAATAAAAAATATTATTTAAAACAGAAGATATTATTAAAAACTCATGCTAAGGCACTACAGTGATATTTTATAGAAAATATTGGCACTATAATTTAGAATATATAATAAATTGATGATATCAAAAACTTCACAAAGAGAAGTTTTACTCTCGATAAGTTAAATTCGAAAACTCCTGAAATATGGCACTATTATTTACAAAGGCTTCATGATAAATATTCAGACAGATACTTTATTAATTAGTAAAACAGCCTAATTACCCTGTATTTTTTAAAAAAAAAAAAAAAAAACCTAAGGGTATGAAGGCCTCGAAGAAATATTTATTAAATGATTTCTCCTGTCGGATTTAAATTAAAATTTATATTTTGCTGATACCCCTGCAATTGAGAATCTTCGCTTTTTATTCGTTTACTACATTCCGCCTTGACTTTTTTATTGCCTCCTTCTTTCCCTTCACTAGGGTGTCGATAAGAAACATGTTTCCTCAGAGCATCACGAGAACGCGATACGTGAGTGCAAACTGTACAGGCATATTGAACGTTTTGATGGGTTTCCAAATGAACTCTTAAATTATACTGATTACTTAATTGCTTTCCACAAACGTGACAAGTGGCAAAAACTTTGCTTTGACCTGGATTATTCATAGACTTGTTTAAATTTGATGTATCTCTAAAATTTTCCGCAGGTGCTTGCCCTCCACCAGAATCCTCAGAAGATGGACTTTGCATTTCTTAAAATGAAAAGAAAAAATAAAAAAATGATTTTTAAAATGACAATAATTTGAAAACAACCAATCGTTAATAAAAAATAATTTGATAAAAAATTTATAAAAAAAACTATAATTACCTGTTTTCATTTCCAAAGGTGTATTGGTCTTTGATTTTATATTGAACTGAGGATCAACATCGTCATTAGATTGGTTAACAAACTCAGTCTCGGGATTATCAGCGCTACTTCCAGTTTCATCTTTGATTCTAAATTTTGACAAATCTTGAGCCTCATTAGTTTCACTTTGATTATCTGCAAATGTAAATCCTTCCGACTTTTTTTGAGGCTGAACCTTACAATATAATTCCATATTTGAATTTCTTCGAGGCATCGAAAATTGATTTGGATTAGGAAAAATATTTGAATCCATTTGCTTAAACGAAGCAGGCTTTTTATATTTTCCCTTTTCTTTACTTTTAGTAGGCCTTGAGTTATTCGACATCATTTTTAATGTATTGTCATCAAAAGGATTAAATTTTTTATTATAATTGTGAGTTAAATTTTTAAATAAATCAAAATCCATTGATTTTGTCGTATTATTCTCGTTTAAGTCTTTGTAATTCTTTGGCTCTGACTGTAGAAAAGGTGACTTGAACAAATTATCTTCATTTGTACTATTATTATAAAAAACATGGTTTGGACTAGCATTTGTATTTAATTTAGGACGTTTTGAAGGTGAAATTCCAGAAAATTTATTAGAAGTATCATTGTAACTTTTATCACCCTATAAATAGTTTGAATTTACTCAGTTAAAATTTAAAATAATATTACGTGCAATAACAAATACTTTTTTTTATACATACATCATTAACCTCAGTTAATCCTCTAATATGAAGAGTATCCGCCATGCTAAGCAAACCAGGCAGCTGTTCCTGATAAATATTAACCTCACCACTGTACATAAACGTTACAAGAGCACATAAGTCTCTAAAGTTCATACCAGGTAAAACTATTACAGGATGCTGATATGGCTGCAGTTCTTTAAATATTTCTCTGAAATACTGACTGCATGCCGAAAGTACAACCCGATGGGCTCGCAAATTTCTTCCTCCTGCCGATAACGTAACATCAGTTAAGTCGTCTCCGTCGAGAAATTGAGGCAAAGATGCGAGTAAACTGCTTTGGTAATTATGCCAGCGCAAACAGAACTGCTGCTGGTCTGAGCCCATGACACTAAAGATGATAAAACTGTATTTAACAATCAAGAACAAATTATCATTTTAATTAATAACCGAAATAAAAATTATACACGTATTAAAAGGAATGTATTAAAATTATTAATTGTAAAAAATTTGCTCGGAGACGTGTATGAAAGGAAGATGGCGCCCACCTCCCACATCATTGGTGTTCTATTCTTATCCACTGGAGCTGGACCTGGATTTTTATTTGACCCGGGAAACTATGATTAAGAATTTAAAAAAAAAAAATGTTCTTAAAACGAAAGAGTAACTTGTTACGGTTTTATCAGCATATTCAATATTATGTATGGAATGCAATTATACAAACATATTTTTAAAATAAAAAAGTTTTACCTATTGCTATGAGAATATAATCTTCATGGACACGCGACCAGCAGACGGTTCAAAACAACTGATAATTGAAAGAATAAAATTCCACCGCCTTTGTTTTTTCCTTTGTATGTATTATTAACCGCAGCAAATTCATAAATTAAAAAATAATTATTGATAACTCTTGTAAATTTTATTTTTCAAAGAACAAATGGAAAATAATAATGTACAAAACTATAAATCTCTTCCTTCGTTTTATGATGATTATGTACAAATCGATGAAGGCATTCAAGCCAAAATCAAGCCAGTTTTAAATCAAATACTCGAATGTAGAGGTGATTCCGCAGTGTGTTAAACGAGTTTTAATCCAAACTTTTTTATAATTTTTTATTTTTTTTTAAATTTAGAAGTTAAAATAATATTTTAGAAATAAATTTTAATTAATTATTTGCTCAAATTAAATTAACGAGTCTTGTAGTAGTCAAATTATACGCAGTCTTATTTAATAGTGGCTGCACGCTGCGAGTGTGACTTTTTTAGGTTAATTTTTAAATAAAAAATTTTATTTTAGTAGCAGTAAAAGAACTTCACATTCAGTACGGAATAAAATTTTCAGAAATTTTAAATTCTTATCAAAATCGATTGGCAGAAATAACTCAAAATTGTGATGCTTTATTAGTTGAATTACGTAAAAATAAAATTGAACTTATTGAAAAATGTGACAAAATATTACAAGGTTATTTTCAAAGTACTTTTTTTTCATAAGTAACTATAATTATTTAACAATATAATTTCAAAAACTTAAAACAATAAATAAGGAATTTAGACTTCAATTATGATGTAGTATAAAATTTCGAAAAAAAATTTCATTAGTTTCCTTTATTTCTCAGGGGAGTCTCTTTTTTGAAGTTATTTATAGATAATGAATAATAATTTCATAATTTGCTGTATTCCTTTGATTAATAATTTTAAAGTATTCATTTTTTAAACAATCCTCGAGTGAAGGCATTAAAATTTTCGACTTGCTTATTTAAATTAGGGCAAAATTTTTTTATATTACTCGTTTGTTTAATATAAGTGAAGAAAAAGAAAGGAACTCTTATGGTGAAATAAAATAATCACTTTTTTTTAAGTATAAATTCGAATTATATATTATAATAAATAAGCATTTTCAAATAAAACTATTTATTATATAAAATATGCATATTACAAAACTGAATACATATACACTGTTTGAAAATTATATGATAATATTTTTAACAAGATGTATCGTAATTCAACTTTCAGAATCTGCATAGTCAAGTGTAGAATTATTTTTTTGAGTAAAATTCTTTGAAGGCAATTCAAAATGCAAATTTTCTTCAACTGGCTCTTGTTTCAAAGGTAGTCTAGCTCGAACACCATATGTAGTTGGGCGCTCATCGGGTGAATCGGAAAGCATCAATCTTAGTAATTCATACTGGAAATAAAAAATTACATTAAATTTTAAAGAAATAATCAATATAAAATTATTAACAAAAAAGCAAGTTATACCTCCTCTTTATATTTCTTTTGAAAGTCTTGTGGAAATTTATCTTTCTTTATATTTTGCATAACTGTTATTCTCTCCATTTGAGTATTAAATGGTACTAATAATTCGAATAAGATTAATCCTAAGGAATAAATATCTACTTTATAGTTGTAAGGTTTACCCAACAACTGTTCTTTACTCATGTATAATTGAGTTCCAACTTGAGCTGTGTGCTTTTCATTAAAGGTGTCTGTAAATATTTTTTCTTCCGAAGCACACTGAAAATCATCTTCAGTCATGGCTGTTACCAAACCGAAATCTCCTACCTTTACTTGATTATTTAATGAAAAAAATATATTTGAAGGCTAAAATAAAAAAAAAAAAAATTAATGGAAAACAGTGATAGATATCTTAGAGTTATAACCGTACAATTTAATTTTTTTTATTACCTTTAGGTCTCTATGTATAAGACCGTGTAGATGAACATGTTCGACAGCTTGCAATATTTGCTCAAAAATACTTAACACATAATTATAATCTCTTTTTTTATTGGCTGTAAGCCAATCTCTTAAACTATGTCTTTGGCATAACTGCATTTGTATGTACAAATAAATTTTACTTAGTATTGGCGGTTCAACACCAGTACTTTGATCACAGGCTGTACCCTTTTCCTCACTTATCGATTTTAAAGCTTCAAAGTTACTGAATTTTTTACTGCTGCAAGTATTCACACTTTGATTTCCTTTAAAAAATAAATTTGAAGATTCGCTGTCTTTTTCCGAAGAGTTTTTCTCAAAAACAACAAATGAGTCGCTGATCTCGTTATTATTTTTCCAAGTATTGTTAAATAAGCTGTTTGATGATTCTCGCAAATCAGAGTCAAAGGTAAAATTTGAGTCAGAAATTGTTACAGGACAATCTGAATCCTGACAATCGTTACTTTCTGTAATTGTAGGAATAGTTAATTTAGATGGTGTACCTAAACTAGAACACCTAAAATAGAATAAAAATATTATTAAGTTAGATATTTGTTAGTATTAATAAACAAAAAAAAATTATATTTGAAACATACAAATCAATCCATAATTTATCTTGTTTTTCTTGCCATCCTATAGGAGGACACTCTGTCCAAGCGTTAAAATATCTGACTATGTGATGGTGATCTAACTTTGCTAATGCTTTTACTTCCCTTAATACTCTTTCTCTGGATTCTTGCTTACGAGGCAATAAAATTCTTTTTATAGCATAATGGCAATCATCAATTTTGTTTTTTGCTTCAAATACTACACCAAAACCACCCTTTCCAAGACAAACAACTGGTTCAAAATCAGTCAAATATCGAGATACATAATCTTGAATTGAATTAAGACCAGCCTTTTCTTCTACTTGATGCACATTTGTTTCTATCCCGGAATCTTTTTCTTCGACAATCGTTTCTAATTCACTATTACTTTTTCCCAAGGATGAAAATAAAGCTTTATATTTCCACCTCCAGTATGTTCTAGTAATCATAAAATTACAAATTACTGCTGTCGTAGCACTAATCACTAAAACTTCTTTCCAATAATACCAAAATGATACAACAACTATTTCTACTGGAGTATTTGCTTCCAAAAAATCAAAATTTGAATCTAATTTAGGAATAACATTTACTTTATTCACTGGATATAATTTCTCTGAACTTTCTATAGAAAAACTATGGGAATTAATTTTAATCTTAGTGTTGTCTTCTTCATAAAGAAAAAAACCATTTCCGTCAACATAAGGAGATGCATAAAGGACAGATAATGCAGTAGTTTGCCTTTGACTTGGATCTTCCAAATCGTTGTTTATCGAACTTGAATCCTCCCATGTTAATCCTAATCTGTAATGGTCACTGGCTGATATAGGTTTCCATGGTATTACAGGATATTTATTTTGACCTGATACTGCATAATTACTTCTAGAAGTAATTTCTAGCCTTTTTTTAAGCATTGGCGCACTTTCTTGAATATACAACTGTAATTTTATAAATAATAATTATAGTTTATGCATGATAATACCTGTTTTCTTAAAGAATTGATTTACCTGTTTGTTAAACATGCCAATATAAATACTTGGAGATGGACTTGGTTTGGCATTAAAGGCCTTATTATTAAATAGATCAACTTGAATTAATTTCCCTTTATTAAGTTGCCAAGCACTCACCACCGGAGAGCTGAACTACAAAAATAAAAGTTAAGAAAGATGTAAAAAATTATTACTTTGCTTATTATTTTAAAAATTTAAAGAAAATAAAATAAAAACTAATAATTAGATCAAACTGTAAAACTATAATAATTTTAACCTTTTGCCTCCAAAAAATATTTGAAGGATTTTTTATGTCACTGGCATAAATTAAACCTTCTGGTATAACAGCGTGCAGCTGGTAATTTAATTCTGCATCCGACAATGAATGACATTCAGATACCAATTTTAAATTGTGATGTGCAACACTATAATTCCATCTCTCAGTACCTGTTCTAGGTTCGACAGCTCTAATAATTTGTATTTGTCTTTGAATAATTAACACATTACTACTGTCTGTAGAATGAGATATATTACCACAACCTTTCATATTGCATTCATAAATAATGTTGCCAGTTTCAAGGGATACTCCAAAAGTAACTGTTTCTTTTCCACCTATAAATACATTTTTTACAAAATTTTTATATTTTCAATTGTAAGAAGTTGTTGTTGTTACTTATAATAATATTTTTAAAAAAAATCAAAGGTACCTGATATAACTAAATCATCTGAATATTTGAGTGAAGATTGTAGCAAATGATCAGAAGTGACAGGAATGAGTTCTATATCTTCTCCATTAAATTTATACAATCCACCATCAAGGGATGGAATCATCCTGACAAAGTTTCCATAATTAGACAGCTAAAAAATTTTTAATTGTTTCAAATCTTAAAAAATTTCTTATTTTTGAAATATCAATTAGATAACTATTTTAATTTATTTGATTATTACCTCCAACTTATGTATACTCGAAGAGAGCATGGTTTCAGAGCCAGGATGAATTGACCACAATACAGATCCCTCATTATTAGGATTTAAAGCAGTGACTCTTCCATCGAGAGTGCTTACAAAAATCAGCCTACCAAATATTAAATTAATAAAAGTAAATTAAAAGTTTGGTTTATTCATTATTAATAATAGTAAATATAATAATTATCTATTTTAATATAAAATAATCAACACATTAATTATTTTAAAAAAGTGCCTACCTACTAAAAGACTCTGCAACTCCACAAAAGGGTAAACTTTCTTCTGAGCATGAAACTTTCCATAATACTAGCAATATGAAAAAGAATTCAATAATGCGATTAAAGAGATAATATTTCATTTTATTTACTTAAATTTATGCCTTTTAAAAAATAAAATAGGAAAATTATTCATTTCCCTTGGAATGTTTTACTTAAAAAAAAAAAAATTAGAGTCAAGGTAACTTCTGTTTACAATGTACTTGTATTGCTATAACTTTTTAAAAATATTGTAAATTGTTTATTCATGTAAATTTCAAAAATCAAAATCTGATTCATACGGCGCTGATTAAAAATTTTAAATAATTATTTGATTGAATCAAAATAATTCTAAAAAAATGAAATAAAAAAAAAACATATTTTGCAGTTTATAAACATGTCAGTTAAAAACATATTACGTGTACTCAATCATATTGGCTACCCTGACAAATACCAACGTAACAAAATATACAGCTGTGTCTGATAACTACCTAGTTCTAAGAATGATTAGAATTAATAAAATGTTATTTAATTTATTTTATTTTTTGAATAATTGAAAAATTATTAATTTTTTTATTATTTGACATTGAATTTTAATATAAAATTTTTAGTTATCAGTCTTTTAATTTCTTTTTATTATGTGTATAGTAAAAAAAAATTTTTTAAAAGTTTGATTTTTTTCAGAAAGTTTTTTTTATTAAAAAAAAGTATAAAAAGTGACGTTAATTACTAATGTTGACAAGTATTTTAAACAAATAACAATTAAATTATGCTCTTTTTGAATTCTTAGTGTCTAACTGTAACAATTACAATAAATATGGAAATAGCAAAATCATTATTCGGCGATCGAAATCATGATGGATATGTGGGCAGAAATGACTATCACGTAAAACTATTCATAACATTTTAATTAAATAAATTCCTAATAACTAAGAAAAATTTTTATCAAGTAGAAAATAATTTATTTTCAATAACTTATTTCATGTTTACTTTTTTTTTCTACTTGTATATTGCCTCTCTCTCTCTATGTTGATGATTTAAATTCAATTAATGAAGAAATTTCTTTTTTTTTTTATAGAAAAAACTTGAAGCAGTAGTATCAGAAGATGAAGGAAACTGTGAAGACAAAGATACAGATAAAAATTCAGATTCAAATTCTGAGAGACTTGAAATGCTTGTCACTCCTGGAGGACCTTTTTCTGCCTTAATTAAATCTATGCTATCTGAAGAAATTATTTCCAAATTGAGTCAAGGAAATGAGGAACATTTAGCTGACACAAATTTTGATGAGTTTGGTTTCAAAGTTGAAAAAAAAGAAAAAGTTGAAAGAACCGATAATAATATATTGGATTCGTCTTTTGCAGAAGACCCTCAGCACAGGTTAGATTAAAACGAATTTAAAATTCTTATCTTTTAATAAAAATTTTTTATGCCATAAAAATATTTACACAGATTAAAGTGGATAGCACATTTAGAATTTAGTAATAACAAAGAAGAATTAACATGGAATTTATTGGATTCCAAGTTATCAAAAACGGAAAAATTGAGATCATTAATACAAGAGGGAGTACCACATTCACTTAGACCTCAAATATGGATGAGATTGTCTGGTGCTCTTCAAAAGAAAGAAGCATCAGAAATTAACTATAAGGAAATTGTTAAACTATCAACCAATGATACACTAACTACTTCAAAACTAATCGAAAAAGACTTATTACGAACTCTTCCAGGAAATATATGCTTTAGTCACAATACAAGCACTGGAATATCTAGATTAAGAAGAATTCTTAGAGCTTTAGCTTGGCTTTATCCAGATATAGGGTATTATTTTTAAAATTCTTTATATTATTAATTTAAATTTAACAAATATTAAGTCATTTAAAAAAATTTTTTGGTTTTATGTTATTTAGTTACTGCCAAGGTACTGGAGTTATTGCTGCTTCACTGCTTCTTATTGTAGAAGAAGAGGATGCTTTTTGGTTAATGGCAACAATTGTTGAAGATCTTTTACCTGCTTCTTATTATTCATCTACCTTGCTTGGAATACAAGCTGATCAAAAAGTTTTAATATCATTAATATCTAATTACTTGCCTGATTTAGATGTTAAGCTAAAGGAACATGATATAGAATTAAGTTTAATTACTTTGCATTGGTTTTTAACATTATTCGCATCGGTTATACACATAAAAATATTGTTGAGGATTTGGGATTTATTTTTTTTCGATGGGTCAATTATTCTTTTTCAAATTACATTAGGGATGCTTAAATTAAAAGGTAGAAATAAAATATATATTTTTGTGGATAATTTATAGAGTATTTTATAATAATATTAATTAATATCATTAATTGTCGTGTAACACATTTAACATGTTACATTTATCTTGCAGAACCTGAATTGATTCAATCTGAAAATTCAGCTCAAATTTTTAATTTACTCTCGGATATTCCTGGAGAAATAGATGATGTTGAACTTTTACTTAAAACATCTCTTGCATTAACATCAAGTCTTAATAACAACATAATTGAAACTCATCGAAGGAGACATTTAGCTTATTTAATGGCTGACCAAGGAAGTTTGGTTGGGAATCCAGAAGGTGCTGCTAACCTTCCAAAACAGCATTTAAATAGGTATAATTTACAGTTATTATTTTCCCAAATGTTAAAATAATATTTTTACACAAATTTTTTTCTTTCTTTAGAAAGGTCTTAATTTTTGAAAAATCTTTCATTTATTTTGTAAATTTTATGTAGACGTCAAGTCAAAAAGTCTAAGTCAATGATTCATCTTTTACTTTTTGGCGAAGAGTCTCAAGACGCAGATATTAAATCGAAAAACATCAAACAAACGGAGATATTGGTTGATTTGAAAGACGCCATTTTGCAAGTTGGTCATCATTTTAAATCCATCGACCCAAAATTTAATAAAGTTATTTTGATAGCAGATTACAGCATGGAATCTCACGCTTTAGATCATGAAAATTACGTTAATGTTTCTAGAACGAGAAAGCGAAGAGCCAAAGCGCTTTTGGGTGAGCACCGAAATTAATTTTAAAACCGATTGTTAACTTAACTATTGTATAATTTAAAAAAAATTAATGTGTTGCATTTTTTATAGATTTTGAACGACACGACGATGATGAATTGGGTTTTAGAAAAAATGATATTATAACTATCATCAGTCAAAAAGATGAACACTGTTGGATTGGTGAATTAAACGGTTTAAGAGGTTGGTTTCCCGCCAAATTTGTTGAATTATTGGACGAGAGGAGTAAACAGTATTCTTTGGCGGGTGATGATAGCGTGTCAGAAACCGTTACAGATCTTGTCCGAGGAACTCTTTGTCCGGTTATCAAACAAGTACTCGAACACGGAATGAAAAGACCTAGTTTTCTCGGTAATAAATAAAATTAAATAAATTTTATCCCTGCTCATTACTAAAATTTTATAATTAATTGACGTAAATTAGGTGGACCTTGTCACCCGTGGCTTTTCATAGAAGAAGCTGCGACAAAAGAAGTCGAACGTGATTTCAATTCGGTGTACAGCAGGCTTGTCTTATGCAAAACATACAGATTAGACGAAGATGGAAAAGTTTTAACTCCAGAAGAGGTAAATTTTATTCTTTTTAACGTATGGCCTTATTTTTATTCCTTCATATTGAAATATTATAGCGTGTGTTTTTTTTAACAGCTTTTATACAGATGCGTCCAAGCTACTAACCTCAGTCACGACAATGCTCATGCACAAATGGACGTCAAACTACGATCTCTCATTTGTTTGGGATTAAACGAACAAGTTTTACACTTATGGTTGGAAGTATTATGTTCGTGTTTCGAAGTCGTTCAAAAATGGTGAGTCACTTTATTATATAAAACCAATTATAACCACCTAGAATATTGCGATTAGGAAATCACAACGAATTATTATTAAAGGTATCATCCTTGGAGCTTTATTAACAGTCCTGGATGGGTACAAATCAAATGCGAATTCCGAGTATTATCACAATTTGCATTTAATCTTAATCCCGATTGGGAATTGCCGCCATCAAAAGAACAATCACAACCTTTAAAAGATGGCGTTCGTGATATGTTAGTCAAACATCATTTATTCAGTTGGGATTTGTAATAATTAATAATAATATTTTGAATTTATCAGTGCTAAGAATGTTTTTATTTAACAAAAAACTATTACAGTATTTGAAAAAAAAATTGAATTTAAATCCGAGTTTTTATTTTTATTATTATGTACAAATGATTTAACAGCCATAAAATAATAGGTGTTTATTAAATAAAAAGGAATTTTACTCTATACATAGTAATTTTTATTTTTAATTTAAACTTTCCTTATTTTTTTTTAAACCTAAATCAAAGGTAAACTCGAATTTTCAATTAAGTGATTTAAAAAAAAAATTGTAGGTATGATAATTAGGGTACCGAAAAGAAAAGAAAAAAACAACCAGAAAAGCTATAAATTTTATTATTTTACTTGAACACTATACACAAATTGACAAAGTTATGATTAAAATTAATATAAATTTTTTTTTTTCAAAATAAAACTTGATTTAAACTTTTTTAAATATATATATATATATTTTTGTCGAACAGCCCAAAAAATATTTAATTTATTTATTTATTTTTTGATTCGATTGATTATTTTTTTAAAAATTTATATTTTATATATATATATAAAATTTATATAATATTATTTTAAAAGATAAACTTTGTAAAAAAAAAAAAAAGTCTAATAGAAACTATATAAATAATGATTTGTTAAACGTTTTTTTTATATTTATTTTATTGATTTTTTTGACTATATTAAAATTAAAAAAAAAATTATTATTTTTTGTACAATTTACAAAAGTGTACAAAAGCATATACAACATCAAAAAAACTTTAGCTTAATAATAAATTACGCAGATTGATTTATATGATTTATTAACATGATTAAAAAATTTTTTTTTTTTTTTTAAATTATGATTTAAATGATCGATAAGCTATATGCAACAGGTAAAAATTTTTTTTTTTTTTTTTTACAAAAACTATATGATTTTTATTTAAAACTAAAAAAAAAAAAAAAAAAAAAAAAAAGTAAAGAAAAACTGATAAAAAATAAAAAGCTTTTTTTTTTTTTTTTCGAGATTTGATTTAAATGTATGTATGTATATATATATAAAATTATATAATGTCGCTTTGTAAAAAATAAATGCTTAAAATTTCTTGATATTTTTATACTTGACTTATTAAACTACCCCATCGATGGTTCTCGGTCCATCGATGGGCATCGTGTGTAAAACCTCATCTAATAATTGCAGAGCACGATGTAAATGTACTTCTATCCAACAGGGTGTTTCTTTTATACTTTGACGAGGGTAATCCGGACCCCAACCCTTAACAAAACTAAGTCGTAAAATACACAGTCGCCTTAAATCATCGACACCGATCCCCGCAGCTGCACTTAAACCTAAATAATATCATACCATTTATTTAGAATGAATATCATTTTTTATTTATTAATTAATTAATTAAATTATTTACTTACTTATGGCCGGAGCTATTCCACCTACAGAGTGAGGACCTGGAATATGTCCGGCTACTGCTGCTGCTTGTGCTGCAGCAGCTGCTTGCGCCGTGGCAGCTTGCTGCTGCATTTGTTTGTGACATTGTCTCAAATCGAAAACCTGATTTAGAAAAAAAAAAAAAACAAATATTAGTAAAACTAATAAATTTTCATCTCATTCGAATCCAATTTATACATGATTAACCACCTTAATGTAAGCACTAGGGTAAATTTTATGAACGGCATCGCCCGGAGCTCGTCCAGCTTCTCTATCCAAATAGTAACTTTGAACAAACACCGAATGATGACTTAAACACGTAAGCCAAACATCACCCTCCCCTCGAAGCTCTAATTGAACACCTTTTCCAATGTGCAATCTGTACCACAAAGTTTTTTTTTTTTTTTTTTTTTTTTTTGTTATTGTATTACTAAAATTTATAATGAAATTTTAAAAAAAAATGCCTTAGGATTTGCTTACCTAGCTTTTTCACTAGGATCAGTTCTATGCACATTACTTAAAGCACCTAAACAAAATCTATTACCTCCAGACGGGTCTACATAACCATCTATTGTGACACTAGGACATGATGATGGTACTTTAAAAGTTTCACCAACCTGGGTGTCAAGTTCAAAATACGCTACTGAACACCAATATTCTGGAGCAGGTTGGCTTGACAATAAACGATTCCCACCGTGACTCCCTAAAGCAGTAATTTAATATATACATATTCAAACAAAAATTTATAAAAACATCTTTTTCGAACTCACAATAACCAGGGTGATGAGTTCTAGGATCAGGTGGTTGCATACTTTGAGTGTAAGTCAAAGTATTATTTCCTGTCCATGTTCCTTGAGCCTGAGAGGAAAAATTTTGAGAATTTGGAGAAGTTCCACTCATGTTACCACTTTGGAAACCATTCTGGTGTAAATGTGGTGATACAGGACCTTGTATAGGACTATGTTGAGTATTGGCACCTTGATAAATTAAATAATGTAATTTGTAAATTTATTTTAAAAACCTTAAAAATTAGAAAAATTTTTTTTATTCATACAAATCATGCATTATTAAAAAATTAGTTGCCTAAAACTAAAGTGATTTGTTACCCATATTTGCGCTCATTCCAACTTGGGCTTCATTTTGCCCTGAAACATCCTCAGGCGAATTAAAAAATGATCCAGATGCACCTTGATTTGAAGAACCCATTATTTGTGACTGTTGATGCTGAATTGACAAAGAGTTATTGCACCCTCCCACAGATGAGTGATTTAATTGTTGGGAAGAACCTGTCAATAATATATTATTAAGTAGCTCATTTAATTCGAAAACCCCTGCTTGTATTTAAGGAATAACTTGACAAATTAATAATGTATTATTAACAACTTGCTATTTAATTCTATAAATTAAAATGCATAACTAAATTACAGCAAAACAACTCACTCAATGGAGGTTGTAATCTTGATGGTCCCCAGTTGGAGCGAGAACAATTTTCTGAAGGCTCCATTTTGGGACAATTCGGAGATCCATATGATCCAGCAGATCTCTCACCTGTGGACGAAGCAACTGACAAACAGGCAACTCAGCAAAAAGCAAAAACACAAGCATTTATTCAAAAAAAAAAAAAAAAAAAAAAAAAATTTCCTAATAACTAAATTCAAAGCAAAACTTCAAAAAAAATTTTAAAATAAATTGTCTAAATGCTTTTATTTTTGATTAAAAAAAGGCTAATACAAAAAGCAAAATTAAAGCATATGATGTGATACATGCAAAGTAATTTTTTTTTCTACAACAAATTATTTTTGAGAAATAATTATAATGTGAATTTGCAATATTTGTACATTTTACTCTACTTTTCTATTTTAAAAATAAATAAATTTTCCAGTTTTTAAATCATTGTGATAATGTTAATCGTTGATGGAAAATTTAATTTTTTAAGAAGTTTATATAGAAATAATAAGTAAAATAAAAGTAAGCTTTTGCTAATTATTTTAAACTGCACAATTTAAAAAATAACATTATCTCAAGCTACAGGGAAAACATACTTGAACAATTCTTTGTGATTTATAAATTTTACCTGTTGTTTGAGTCTGAAGTTGTAAAAGAGAAAATTGCTGCAAAGGAGGAGGTTGAGGAGCTGGAGGATGATGTTGAATAGTTTGTGACACTCCTAAAACATCTCCATCTATTTCCATTTGACCTGGACTAGGCCCACTAACAACTCCAGCAGTGTACTCATCTTTTACTAGCCTACTCGGACCAGATTGTAATGTTAATCCTGATAAATCTAAAAAACATTAATTAAGTAAGTACATGATGATTGTAATACATCATATTTTATGTAATTTAATAAAATGTTTTTACCTATTCCAGGAGAAACTACTCTCTCATAATGATAAGGATTTACACAGACAGAATCACATTTAAGGTCAAATGCAAATTGACAATATTTTACATGCTTAAGTTCGTTTTTATGCAAATCAGGCCACCTCCAAATTCTAGCATATATAACATGAGGAAAACCTTTTCTTCCAGCAACTTGAAGTCTTCCATCCAAAGTTCTTTGTATAGTGACACATTTGCTTGGGTGTGCCCCATTTGTAGTAATGGCAGTTATTAAACTATCTAACTCATCACGTTTTTCTTTTAATTTTTTTACAAGACTTTCTATTGCTCGTTTGGCAAAACCCTCAGATTCCCCCCCTTGACGATGGCACATTAAACTGTGAACTATACTTAGGCAAGCATCAGCAGAAGTTGGTGCAGTGGAAGAAACTGTAGCCATTTCTTTAACTGAAAGTTATATATAAAGCTATGTATGTCATAAATTCTTATTTTTTCTACCAAATCATAAAATAATAAAAAATTAATTAACAAAATTAAGAAAGAAAATAAGTCAGTTTGAATCTTTTTTTAGGTTTATATAAATTTGAAAAAAAACTCCAAAAAAATAAATTACAATTATTGTTAGAATTTAATAAAATGATCAAAATTTTCAATAAGGAAAAAAGTATTTTTTTTTTTTTTTTAAATTTTGTAAATGTAAATATTTATTTCAAAAGTTCAATAACATTATTTTATTAATCTTAAGTAGTGAATAATATTTTTAAATGGTTTTTGATATAAATGGGAATTTGATTTATTACAGCATTTGATTAAAATAATTTAATTATAACCACTATATTTTAAAACAACAAAAAAAAATGAATAATTATTTGCTTAATATAAAAATTATTATTCAATTATTATTTTTCAAATTAGGAATTTAATTAAACAAAAAATAAACTACTGAATAGTGTAAAATATTAAGAAAATTATTATAAAGAATCACAAATTTACCTCTCATAAATAATAATGTTTTTTGCAATTAGTAATACTTTTAAACTTTTGAATTTTCTTTAATACAAACACGTTTTTTTTTTTTCTTTTTCTATTTAAAGCTTACAATTTCATCGTAAATACACGAAAAAATAAATGCGTTATAAATATTTTTATTTAAATTAACAAAAGTTTAAATGAAAAAAGGAAGATTATGCTGTATTTGAGGAGTTAAACATTGTACAATTAAATAATAAGTTATAAACCATTAATAAGTTTATTTTTAATTTGTTTGGAATGAATCAGGCTATTTCAACTGCGTGTAAGAAGGCTTCTGGGGTACACTTTTATTTTTTATATTTAATTTAACATATAATATTTTTTATTTTATTTTACCTTTTGAAATTCCAATATTAAAACTTGCTCCCCCACTGGTCAAGCCTACCATAATAGCGTCCAAACATTATTCATTATTTCACAATCGGTTTAGATTTTGCAACTTTACAAACATTTATTTGCTACACTCAGTAGCATCAGTACCAACTAAATTCGTGTCTATAGACAGTAACACACTCACACTTAACGAATGATAAAAAATTGATTACCTAATATTTTTTTTAGTAATTTGAAGCAAATAAGTTAATGTTGGACTGTTAGTAAATAATTTTAATATGGCAGGAAAAGAAAATAAATCTCCTTTTAAATTTAAAAGCTTGGAAGAATTAAAACCACACTACGATAGACTTCAATTAGCTGGAAAAAATCCAAGAGAGTAGGTAACTTTAATATTAATGCAATGTCAGCTAACAATTTTTGACTTTTATTTGAAAATTTAAATTTTTGAAAAATATCTCATTATTTCAATTCGTCACTGGGTAATGATTTATTCCATTTCCATAAATTTTATCTTACGATAAATCGATTAGAAAAAATCCTTTATTAAAAAACTAATTTTACGTTACTTTTTATTTGATATTTCCTTAATAATTTTAATCATCAGAAGTTTAAATTTTCATGACTAATTTTTATTATTTTTTACAGTTTAATGCACAAATTAGATAAAATATTTAAAACCGCGTGTGAAAAAATGGCCAATGAAGAAATAGAAGATGCTTATATTTTAATTATGAAATACTTAAATGTTTTTTCATTTATTCAAAAATCTGATGATTTCAAGGAAGATTCCAAGTATTATAAAGCCATGCTTGGAAAGCAACCAAAAGATGCACTTAAAATAGCTGAAAATTTACATAAAAATCTTAGTGAATATTATAGTATGGTTAAAAATATAGAAGCAAGTGAGCACAAGAAAGAAAAAGGAAATTTTAAAAACTCTAACCTTAATATAGAAATGCCTGACATGAGAGTACAAAAAGAGTCAAAATCAACTGTTACCAGTGCAAAGTTGTTTACCATGCTAAGAGATGGTATAACTAAGGTACTGCTAATGGATACCAGACCTCAATTGGATTTTGAAAGTTCTAGAATAAAAGATAATATGATGAACATTCCTGATGAAATAATTACTACTGGGTTTGTTATTCTTTACAGTATCTTGATTATTTTTTAAATACCACTGTAAACTAAATAAAATTTAAATTTTTAATATAGAAAAAGTGCTAATATGTTAGAAAAACAATTACCTGAGGCATCTAAAAATTTATGGAAACTCAGAGGAACTTATGACCAAATAGTGTTAATTGATGGATGACAAATGAACAAAATTTTAAAACCTCAAAGTTAGCCATTTTGAAAGAAATTTTAACAGAGGTACTTATGCGAAATATTTTAAGTTTTCTTTTTTTTTTTTAAGTTCTTTTAACGAAAACCTTTACAACTTTTGCCATTATTTTTAGTGGGATGTCAACACAAAATATAAAAATGAAATTTTAATACTTGATGGTGGCTACGAAGATTGGCTTAATAGCTACCCTTGGAATACTACAAATCCTAAACCTCAAAGGCCAGTTTATGAAGAAACAATTTCTGAAGATGTTTTAGATCAAGTGGTTTATCCTGATTTGGATGATGTAAATGCAAATGTTGATCAAGAATTCTTAAAACCATTTTTTGATAAAACTAAAAAGCCCTTTAAGCGTTCATTAATTGAAAGCGACCAGGATGAATTTCCATCTGATCAATCTACTCGCCCAAGTTTCGATAGAGCAAAAAAGGTAAATTTATGTACCAATCTTTTTTTGGTCTTCTAAATTTTTGCTTAAAATTTATAATTAAAAATAATTTCAGGCTGCTGCTATCAAAACCTATGAGGAACGTAAATCAGAACTGGCAAATTTATTAAACCAAAAAGTTAAAGAAACTTCTGAAGCGTTGGTAATTGAAAAAACCATGCTTGATAATGAAAAAGAACTTCAAGAAACCATAAAGGAATACAAAAATGCTGATGAAGTAAAAAAAAAAATTTTGGGTACGATTAATTATATGCTGTTTATTTATAATTATGTAAAACTATTTGTACTAATTTACTAAAATAAAGTTTTTATTTTTTTACAGAGGAAAAGGAAGAAAAATTACTTATGAAAGTAGAAGAGTTAAAAGAAGAATCAATTTTAAAAGATGAAAAAATAAAAGAATTGCAAAAAATTATTGAAATCTACGAAAAAAAAGATATTGAAGAAATGGCTAGAAAAGTCGAAGATGAAGAAAGGCGAATTCGCGAAGCAGAAATTAATGAAAAAATAAGATTACAAGAAGAAGAGAAACTTAGAATTGCAAAAGAAAGAGAAGAAATTGAAAAAATTAAGATGCTGGAAAGGAAAAAATTAGAAGAAAAATATAAAGAAAAACTTGAAATTGCCAGGAGTAAGAAAAAAAAAGTATCAGACAACAATTTTACAAATCCATCAAACTTGACATTGGTAAATATGGTGATTATTAGTGATATATTATTTTTAATTCAAGTGTTGCTTTATATGAATTCATTTTCCAGGCCAATGATATTTATAACAAAGTTCCGGTAATAAATAGAAGTAATAAACCAAGACTCGATGAAAAAATAAGGCAATTTAATGGGGTTAAAGGCAATGTGGTACGTTAATACTTTTAATTAACTTTTAAAACTTTTACAATTTCATCGACTACTGCAATATTTTGTGTGTTTTGCAATTTTTTTTTTGCATACTTAATATTAATATTTTTAATATTAATTTTAGGGTAGAGGACTTACAGGTTTAAAAAATTTAGGAAATACATGTTATCTAAATTCAATTGTTCAATGTATTAGTAATAATCCCGCATTAGTTAAATATTTTTGCGACAATCTTTATAGGAACGATTTGCATAAAGGAAATAAAACAAAAGGTGAAGTGGCGGAAGAATTGGCGGCTTTAGTTAAAACTCTATGGTCGGGTCAGTTTCGTTCGATTGCATGTCGAGATTTTAAAGTACGTTTATAATAAAGTGAAAATATGTACGGAATTTTAAAAATTACATTTTTTTTTGTAGAAAATTGCATGTCAACCATTTTTCTTTTTTTTTTTTGCAGAATACAGTAGGCATGTTTAAGCCTGAATACGCTACGTATGAGCAACAAGACTCTCATGAATTTTTAACATTTTTAATGGATTGGCTTCATAACGATTTAAATAAGGTTTAAATTTTATACTTTTTATAAATAAATAAAATTATTTAGTTATCATGATAAAAAAAAAAAAAAATTAAATTAAACTATTGATTTTATTTTAGCAGTCGACGTTTGGATCGATGGATAGTGAAAAATTGGACAACGACATGGAAAAAGCTTGGTGGGATTTTAAAAAAAAAAATATATCTTTAATATCAACGTTATTTTATGGCCTTCAAAAATCAACCGTTTCTTGTACTAAATGCGATGAAGCATCCGTTACATACGAGCCTTTTTCTAATTTGTCTTTAATCATTCCCGATTCGGAATACAGTTCAACCGAAGTTTGTTTAATTTTTAGTTTTTATTACAATAAAAATTTTTTTTAGCCTTTGAAAATTATTTATTTACATAAATTGTTTTTTTTAGCAATGCCTCGGCCTTTATTTAAAAAGTGAAAGAATATCCGGTTGGCGTTGTCCGAAATGTAAAGAATTTCGGGATGCCGAAAAAAAGACTGATATTTGCATTCTTCCTCCCATTTTAATTATTCACCTTAAAAGGTTCGTTTAAAAAAATATTTATAACAACCTTATTGTTTTTGACATTTAAAAACTTGTTCTTTAATTATTTTTCCAGATTTCACTACATTGAAGTTTTGTCCCGGAAAAGAACATCTTTCGTTGATTTTCCTCTAACGGATTTAAACATGTCGCAATATGTCGGTTGTATAAAACAAAGGCATATAAATTACGATTTGTATGCTATTTCCAATCATTATGGAACAATGGAAGGTGGTCATTACACAGCTTATTGCAAAAGTCCCCTTTACAAAAGGTAAGTTTAATTTAGTTTTTTTTTTCCTTTTTTTCCTTTTAATTCAAGTTTTTTACATGGTTTTTCTTGTTTTTTAGATGGTACAAATTCGACGATCACGAAGTCTTTGAAATATCTTCAAACGATGTTAAAAGCAACGCAGCTTACATTTTATTTTACACTTCAATTAATTATAGAATTTCAGATCCGCCAAGTTGAATTTTAAAAGTTATTATTATTATTATTATCATTAATTAGGTAAAGAAAGGGGCCTCTTAATATATATCAAATAAGTTAACAGTATTAAAAACAATTATTTATTAATATTTGCATTTTTTTTTTTTTTTTAATAAGTTTAGTTTCGCCACAGATAGATTTGTTTGTTTACTATATAATTTGTTGAGATGTTTTTGAAATTGCTTAAAAATTTGGTTAATCGGCTAATATTTAAGTTTAGATTTTTTATATATATATATATAATTTAATAAGAGATTTCTAAAATAGAAAAATGTTATGTATTTCTTATTAATAATGTGTAATAAAATAATTTTTATTAATTGTAATATATTGCTTTTTTTTTAATAATAATAATAATATTTATAATATTTGCGGGGTATTATGATGCAAGTAAAAAAAAAAAAAAAAAAATTTAAATTGTGTGAAAATGATTTATTTTTTTTATCTTATACATATATAAATTGAGTATAAAATTTATTTATTTATTTATTTACATATAGAAAATATTGCATTTAATTTTCCTCCACGATGTTGAAATAAGAATTTAACAGTTAAAAAATTATAAATAAGAAATTTGTGGTAAAAATTGAAAAAGAACAAATTAGTATTGATTAATTTTAACGGAAATTCTGAAATTTAAAATTTAATCATTTTTTAAATGGGACCAATGAGTTGATAATCGAAGTTTATTGCGATAAATAATAATTATAACATATATTTATTTAATTTAAATTGGAAAATGTAAGTAATTACATTTAAATCAACGACAGAAAAAATGTAATTTTAAATTTAAATTTAATATAAATCAATTTTTTCAATTTTCAAACGTAATTATCGATTACGGATTTTCCTAAAACGATGAAAACATTTTAAATATTATAAAAACAGTTATAGAATTTTTTTTTTTTTTGATTAATCTATTTTCACAACAAGCAAACTTTTAAAATTTTTAATTTTTTTCTTTTATTATTTAAATAAATACGTGAAAAAAATTTATGAAAATAAAATTTCGAATAAATATTTAACATTTTTTTTTAAAATTAAGGTTTCCAGGTTTAGATTAATTTAAAAAAATTTGGGGGGAAAAATTTTTTTATAATTTTATGATTTTGTTGTGAATATTAAATATTTACACGTTCAACGTGAGCTAAAAGGAACAGATACGAATGGAAAGTGATAAGTATGCAGGTAATTAATTAATTAATTTTTAATTTAATTTAATAATTTTATTTAATTAATTTCGTACCGTCGAACGGTTTGTCGTTTTGTTTTGTTTTTTTTTTTTTTTGCGTGTGTTAAAATTTAAAAGTGTTAAAATCGTATTTAAAAATTTCATTTTACTGTAAAAGTCAAAGTTGGTTTTGATGTGTCATGTCGGTCGTTTCCCCACCTGCTGCGCCCTCATATGTTGACCCCTTTTCAAAATACTTATTTTAAAACAAAAATTTTAAAACATTTTTATTAAATAATAAAAATGTTGGAAAATAGTTTTAATTGAAATACTATTAGAAATTTGATCTGAGTACAAATTCAAATTAGAACGGACAGATGACAGACCATATTTTGCGACGTGGGAGGTTACATATTTGGTCTGTCAGTAAAACGAGTTGGCATTTTGATGCCTAATTGTGTTATGAAGTGTTTCTTTTTTTTTTTTTTTAAATAAATTTACAATAGTGTTTTGTTTTATGATTAAACAGTTTATATTCTGTCAAAAATCTAATGTACTACTGACTTGATTAAAGTTAAGGAATATAATGGATAAAGTATGAAATAAAATTTAGTTTAAATTTTATTTTGGGCTTGGTCACTGGGCACTATTATAATTTTTATTTTGGATTTTATTCACTAAAAACATTTAAAATTTTTCATCTAAAAACCTTTTTCAAATGTTTTTATTACATAATTAATCATTTTCCATTTTATTTTTTGTATGAAATTTGTTGACTGATTTACCATATTTTATATTTGCAAGATTAAACTTTTCTGATGAATTCTTTATTTTTTACTTAATTGTTTTTTTAAATTATTTATTTTTTATTTTTATTAACATTTAAATGCATAATTTATAATATTTTTGTCTTCAGTAACCTTATTAAAAGTTATCGTTTTAGGTTAAATGCATTTATTGTGGCTGATTGATTGATAACAAAATTAATATTTTTTTTTATAAAATGATATAATTTAATTTATTTTATATTATTTACCGAAAGTTTGTGTTAAAAATGTAATTGTTTAGATACAATAATATTAATTAATTATTTTATTATTGAAAATATGTCAGGTGCAATACTATAAGTTTTTTTTGGCAGTAATATAAATTTAATTAGTGTTTAATAATTTGTTAGGATATTTTTTCGATTAGTTTTTAAAACTTAGATTTTGTTTACGAAACGTGTTGAAGTACTCGCAGAAATTTCAAATTTTATTAAATTTGTTTCTAGTGTGAGACTGAGCATGTACCTGTTATGCAAAATGGAATATTTGATAGTAGCATTAAAAGCACAATGCCAAGAAGCTATTCATTATGGTCTTCTTCTGACTTGTTACAAGTAAGTAACACACGCCATAGTTTTTTTATACCTTGAATGTTTACACCATTATAAAATATTATCAGTTTTACAAACTATTTTAAATATGAAACATATTTTTAAACAATCTTTTAAAGTGAAGTTGTTTGATTTGTTTAACATATGTTACAGAATAATGTTGATAACATGGACTTAGTTGAAAATTTACATTTGTGTAACTCAATGGTTGATGATGTTGTAGCAAAAGTATTAGAAGATGAAACGTTAAATTCAGAAAATGGGGATTATTTGAAATCTGAGTAAGTAGCGAATGAATTAAATTTGAAATTTTTTTTTTTTTTTTATAAATAAATTAAGCAAACAAATTAAAATAAAATTTGCTCTAACAAAACTAATTGTACTATTGTAAAATTCACTTACAGAAATGATTGCCGCTTTAAAAATTCTAGTGTTTCGAATAGCTTTTATAACATTTCTGATTTGAATTGGTCAAATGTTCCTTGCAATACTGAAAAATCTACTTCAGCAATTCAGGAGACTGAACTCAAGCTCTCTGATTTTAATTACAAGTCCAAAGAGTTTGTAAGTTATTTATTAAAATTTTCATAACACTTACTAAATTTTCTATTTAAAAAAAAAAAAAAATGCTTAAATAATTTTTTTATTTTTTTTTTTTTTTTCCAGCCTGCATTTGGTGATTTTAAGCCAAATATGTTGGATCGGTCAAGTGAAATTTTATCTCATGGTCTCAGTTTTAATTCTCTAAACAAAAATTTTAATTCTCTTAGAAATTTTATCGGTGGAATGGGAGAAAGTATGGATTCTGGTTTTGCTTCTCCTGGTGAAAAACAAATTCAAAATTCTAGTGTATTAGAAAATGAAGGTGAATTTTTTTTCAAACAAAGTTAAACTTATGCCATTCACTTGAAGTGATAAATTTTTTCAAAAACTTAACATTCTCATAATAAAATAATAAAAATTATTTTTTGTATTTAATTTAGATGCCATAATCGGACATGGTCTTCCCAATGATCAAGAATTATATAATTACTTACAATTGATTAGTAACAATTTTGTAAAAATAAATCTCAATTCGGATGTACAGTCAAATGATGCTGATTTAAATACTAGGAGAAATTTTCAAAATCAAAGTTTACCTATCGATCTTCAATCAAATCAATTATTAGATGAAAATGACATTAATCTGTATAATATGAATTTTAATTCTTCAAATTTAAATATTGAATCTGATAATTCCTTAAATTGTACAGGCATTAATCAAAGCCTCTTAAAACAAATAAATGACCAAGTTCATACAGCGGAAGACAAATTTAGGGTAAAAAAAGAAATGGTAAGTTTAATTATAAATAAAAATCTATTAAATCAATAAATTTAAACTTTTAAAATAATTTAATATATTTTTAAAGGATGAAGCTTTTTCACAATCGTTATTTCAGTATTGTAATCAAAATCAAAGTGATACCTTTAACAAAGCATCGGATTATAAAACTTGTGTAAATTCTTCGAGCGGAAATGGTTTTTCAAATCAATCAAACGACATATTTTTTAATTATCAAGTAAGTTCTCCGAATCAGTATTCTCCCGTATCCTCTGATTACCAAAAACCTGTATTAGGCACCGATAATTTGGTTTCCTTGCAACCTGTAAAAAATGGAAACATGGTTAATGGCTACGGAGTAAGTCATTCGCAATTTATGAAAACGAACGATATTCAAAATATGGTCAAAACCAATAACTATCAAAATTATAACGGAAAAGACAGGGAGTCAATGTTTCATTCTTATCCTCAAAATTTGTCGAAAAATAATTCTTCGAAAAAAAGTTATGGCGCGCAGGTAAGAAAAATGTACAGAATTAAAAATAATCATTTAAAAAAAAAAATTAAACACTAACACTTGCTGAACTTTTTTTAGGGTTTCAATAATTATAATTTAGGGCATTTCGATGCTACCTTCGATGGATTTTACAATGGCGTTAATCACGAAACTGACATGCGGAATCTCAATGGAAACGTCAATTTTACAATGCATTTTAAAGGACACACAAATAATAACAATAATAATAATAATGGGTCGAAAAATAATAATTTGAACGAAATAAAAAATGCGTGGAATCCAACGGGAATACCTAAAGGTAATTTGTAAAGTTTTTAAATTGAATTTGCACTTGAAGTTTTGTAACAATTTTGAATTTTTTCAGTTAACGGGACCAATTCTTCTTATCTCACTAATTCACCGGCTGAAATGCATCCACTGCCTCAATTTAATGCACACATTGATCCCAGATCAGGCCACATGTTTCCTCCACCGAATCCAATGCCACATCTTATGGGTCCGGCTCCCATCGACAGTTCAGCTTGTCCACCAGAATTCCTGGCCGAACTCTCGCGAGCCGCATGTTTGAGCGGATGTTATATTCCAGGACCACATGAAAATTTACCATATCCTCTTTTTGGAATTCTTCCTCCTATATACGGAGTCAGACACTTACGGTAAGCTTTAATTTAGTTCAAAAAAAAAAAATTATTTTTCTCAGAATTTGTGGTAATAAAGTTTTTGTCTTCTTAACTAAGTGTATGTAAATTGTTTTAGTCGCAGTGGACCTTCTAGCGAATTACACTTAAGGCTGGAAGAATGTTACGATCAATTTAAACATTTGGAAAAAGAAAGGAAAAAAACGGAAGCAGAACTTGCGAGAAATAATCCTGGTAAAAAGGTTTCTTCTGCTAATAATATTCCAGTCCCCAGGTTACCTCCGAATCCTTCAAGAGTGGACAGACTCATTGTCGATCAATCAAGAGAACATGCTAGAGTAATTATTAAAAAAATTTTTCTTTGATCGGTTTTATTAGTTAATAATAATAAAATAATTAAAAATTAAAAATCTCATTTAAAGGTAATAACTCTTATTGCCAAGATGGAGCGTTTACGAGGTGGTAAAGTTAATGAAAATATTCATACGGCAATGGAAGCTTGGTTGGAAGCTATAAAAAAAGTACAGTGTCGACGTCGAGACGAATTAATTAATGCAAACAATCGTCATCAGGATATGATGGCGGGTATCGAAACTTATCGCGTTCAGGAAGATAAAGGTAAAATTAATTACACGTCTTTTTTTTTTTCTTACGAACGATTTTTGACCGAAACGTTTTTTATATAAACCGTATAAATTTTCAAATACGGTTCCCGTGAATGTAAAACTTTTTTCTTTTGCATTTATTCTATAATAGACATTTTAGCTTTGGCGGCAAGCATTCAAGACCTGAGCAAAGCATCGAGAAAGGCACGTACCGCAATGTGGTGTTCACTCATGGTAACTCTTTTGAAAAATTTAACAACGAGCGATTCGAAGGAAACGGATTCACCACAAAATCAAGTTGATGTCCTCGCACCGATAGTTACAGACGGCTCTCTTAATAATTCTTCGAATCCTTCGACTTCTTCTTCAAACAATAATAATAAACATTGTGATACAACAACAACAACAACAACAACTGCAACAGAAAACGAAACGACCAACACCAATCAATGAAATCATTCGGAAAAAAAAAAAAAAGGGGGAAATCAATTGCTGCAACTCTTCAGTTTCAAATTAAGGTATTGTAATAATTAAAATTAATTTCTTAAACGTAATTCAACGAATATATATATATATATATATATATATATATATATTGTCTATCTATATCGTACCTGTTAAATAATCTGAAGTTAGGTAGCTATTATTATTTGTAGATAATTTGAAATGGCAAAAAGGTATAAATGCCCAATTGATATGATTAACCTTAAACCTAATTTGTGCAGTTTACTACTTACTTTTTAACTTTTGACAAAAGGGTTTTAACGGGGAGAAAAAAAAAAAAAAAAAACGGGCATCCGTACAACCAAATATTTTTGAAAAATTAAATCAAGTTTTTTTTTTATTAAAAATGTGTTCACAATTTAAATAAAAACAACATGAACACGTGAAGAACATTATAAGAAATATAAATTTTCTAGTCTTAAAAGAGAATTTTGCTTTAAAAAAAAAATGTTTTTATTTAAATTTATATGCAATAATTTATTTTAAATGCTCTCGTTTTTTATTTAGTATTTAAAAAACAATTTACGCTTTAATCAAATCGAAATTTTTAATTTATTTTATCACAATAGCATTTAATTATTTAAAACTGGCTTTTATATAATAATACTATTATTATTAATAATATCTACTTATTATATATATATATTGAAAAAGTATTAATTTTTTTTTTTTTTTTTAAATTATAAATCATATTTTAATCAGTACAAAAATGATTTTTTTTTTTTTCAATATTAATAATACATATCTCTTGATTTAATAAATAAAAAAATTAAAATTTTAATATTATTTAATGCCGGAACGTAATAGAACACATTATGGAAAAAATTATTTATTTTTCCATATATATATATGGATGCAAATCAAAAAGGAAGAATTTATTTAATTAAATTTATAAAAAAAAAAAAAAAAAATATTCGGATGCCACGTTAAAACCTTTTGTTTTTTTTTTTTTTTAAATAAATAACTTAATCAGGCTTTGCTGTGTAATTTAATTTAAACGGTTAAAAGTTTTTTTTTTATTTATAAAAAATATATTAAAAATCTTATATTAAAAAAAATAATATATATATAATATATGCTTAATTTATAGTGGCTCAAATGCAAATTGATATTAGTTATATATATATATATATATATATATATATATATATATATATATATATATATATATATATATATATATATATATATAATTAGTAATATTTAAATGTCCAATTAAAATTTGTATAAATTTTACAAAAAGAAAATTATATATAAAATAGTATATATTATTTATATGAAAATAATAATAATAATAATTTATATGTGCGTTAAATCTATTTATTATTAACAAATTACAACGTTTTTTTTTATTTAAATGTTCATCAAGTTAGATATTTGAATTTATTAGAATTTGGTGTGTGGCCTTCATTTTTATTTTATAAAAGCTGAGTTTAGCTCTTTAAAAAAAAAATTTTTTGTAAAAAAAAAAAAAAAAAAAAAAAAAGTAAATTCTAGTGAGGAAAAAAAAATATATTTGATATTATTATAAATTTGCATTTCAAAAGTGGAGGGGGGTGGGGGTTGGGGGTTGGGGGAGAGAGAGAAAAAATGTATGTCTTCTCGGTTACATTCATATTGTTAGTTTTTGTATTGATTGATTGATTGATTGATTGATTCATTGATCCATTAATTGTTTGTTTGTTATTTATTATGTTTTATGCGAATTTAGTCTCTTTAAATATTATTATTATTTTTATTATTTAATTTAATTTAATTTAATTTAATATTATTAATATAAATGCTAGCTTAATGAAAAATTAAATAATCACTTTAGCTGGATTTCGCTCAAATATTTAGTGTCTTTAAAAAAAAGAATCTATAAAAAATTAATTATTATTATTATTATTATTATTATTATTATTATTAAAACATGTCAATTTTTTTTTTTTTTTTTCTTAATTTATTTAATTAAATTTAATTTAATTTAATTTAATTTAATTGTTTATGTGTGTGTTATTTAATAAT